ATGGAATAATTACTGTGAATCAAGTGCTTAGGTTACAACAATGAGTAAGATAATTTCTGTCCCTGGGAAACTTGTGGATAAAAAGATAATGCCAATGTTGCTGGGTAAAGGACCACTCAAAAAAAACCCACAGATTTTTATCACTCAAAGATTCATATAAAAGATTCATTCAGATCAGTATCTGTTAAATCACCATAGAAAATAGAATGAGTCTATATTCAAAATAGTTTTCACAAATATTTTGAAATGCATAGTTGATATTTTCCCTAGATCCATCTTTTATGTTCCTTCTATGAGCATAATTCACAGCTCAAAGGAAACAAAAGGTTAAAGTTTTTGAGTTTTTTGAGACAGGGTTTCTCTGTGGCTTTGGAGGCTGTCCTGGAACTAGCTTTTGTAGACCACGCTGGTGTTGACCTTACAGAGATCCACCTGCCTCAGCCTCCCAAGTGCTGGGATTAAAGGCGTGCACCACCACCACACAGTCCAAAAGATTAAAGTTTTTATATATAATCTTTCTTTCATTTTTTCCCTTTGAGACAGGGTCTAGCTATGTAGTCTAGGTTGGCCTCAGACTCACGATTTTCCTGTTTTAACCTAAAAATCACTAAGATTACAGGTTAGCAAACCACACCCGTGTGATGTTTAATCTAAAGAGAATTTCATCTTCCTTTGATCTGCCATGGCCCCCATGTATCACCCTCCCACTATTAAGGTAAAAGTAGATATTAAGATAAAACAGAAATGTTGGGAACACTAAGTAAGATAAATAAAATGGCTTATACCTGGGTAAGATATAGCCAAACTGACAAGAGAAAAGCTGAAAAATAGGACTGAAATAAAAATGACAAAGTTGGTCCCATCAGGTTCTGATCAGTTCCCATAAAACACCCTTTTAGGAATACCTGCAAGGTAATGTTATGATTTCTGAAGTAAACTTTTTTGCCTTATGAATAGTTACACCTTTATACATATAATGTATCTAATTGCAACATACAGAATTTTGAGTAAGCTAACTTCTAAGAAAGCCTCCACCCATTCTAGGAAACAAACCATGACCAACAGCCCTAGAAATGGACAAGGGGAAGAGAAATGACAGACCACGTCTTATGCATCGAGATACTAGAAGAAGTCTTTCCCATTGTTTCTCAGTTCAGTATGCCTTCCACTCTGGGGGGGGGGTACTTTGTTTTTGCTTTCTCAGCTGCCAAAATAACTTTGATTACTTGCTTGCTCTACTTGTGACCCCTGGGAATTCTTCTTCAGGGGCAGGAGAACCAAGACTGTTGTTGCAATTGGTATGGGAGGGAGTTTTGGGAGGAGGCTTATCTTTCCCCATCCATAACACAAACCTCTCCCTTTTTAGTTCCATTATATTCCATTGTTTGTAACTTCTATGTCCTCAGATCCATACATCTTACATACCACAGAAGGGAGGTGTCCACTCTGCCTTTTCTTACTAGAAGCCACAACTTGCTTGGAGCAGAAATGACTCACTTCCTCTGACCTCTGACTCCTTTGATGTCAAGGTCTGAAACTATATGGTCAGAATCAGGGTTATGAGAACAGTTTGCTCTAGGATTCTGGCATCTTGAGCTATAAACACTCTTGTGTTGGGCCTAGTAGTAAGGTCATCCACCTGAAGCAGAATGTGTTTAGACATCAGGCTTTGGTTTGTTTCACCAAGAATAATCAAACAAAAAAAGGAAGTTACTACTCCAATGTCAAGAATAAGGAACTGGTTTGTAACATACATTCAGCAATGTATTCCCACCAAGTACTGGAAATTTGCCATTTTGATTTTTTTCTGAATAATGGATATAATTTTGTTTGTGAGCACCAAATGTACTGAGTCTCGTTCTTTGATCTTCAAAATTTTGCAAATTCAAAAATATGTGGCTTTTTACTACGTTGTATAAAAATCTCCAATCCAACATCCATCCATTTTTCTCTTGTTCTGAAAATCATGAAATCACTCAACTTGTATCTCTTTCAGTAATGCATTAGAATATTCTGAGAACTGAGAGGAGCATTGCAATGAAAGAGATGTTAAGACTACCTATTTCAAACTAAGCTTTTCAATGAAAAAGGTAGGCTTACCATGTGAGGGGACAGGCAACAGCGACACATTATACTCTTTGTAAGGGAATGAAGTTCAATTTAGGCACAAGTTTACATTATACATCATTTACATTCAGAAAGGCTATTGATCCTCTGTTTTTCTGTAAATCACAAAGTCTCACAAGATGAGTTAAAAGTACTCTACACTCCTGAATGTTATGAAGACTTTGTGAAACCTAGTGTTTTCTTTAAAAAGAATTTGCCAATGTATCTTGTTCACAGAAGGGTTTTAAATAACATTCCAAGGGACTACAGAGATGGCTGAGTGGTAAAGAGCACTGAATGTTCTTTCAGAGGACCTGGGTTCAATTCCCAGCACCCATGTGGCAACTTACAACTGCCTGTAACTCTGGTTCCATGGGACAAGACACCAATGCGCATAAAATAAAATGAATTTTAAAAAGATTTGTTCATAACACTTTTATTTTTAATAGATATAGAGTTATTTAGTGCATTTATTTCTTTTTTATGAGCTTTGGTTTTTGTATCTTTCAAGAACTTACCTTATAACTAAATTATCTAATTTGTTCTGAAGTTGCTTACAATGTTCCACTAGTAAACCATTTATATTGAAGGATCTAAAGTGATGTTCAGTCTTAATTCTTGTACTTTCTATTTTTATGTAGCTTCTTGATCAGTCTGGCAAGTGTATTGTCAGTTTCACTGATTATCTCAGAATATCAGCTTTTGGTTTAAACAACTTTTATTTTTGAGTTTATTTTCCAGCACGTTGATTTCAGATCTTTATCATTTCCTTTCTTCTGTTCATATCAGATTTGGTTTGACTTGTTTTTTGCAATTTTAGGTGGAAGCTGGGATGATTTGAGACCTCTTTCTTTCACAATATAGGATTTGATGCTATTAATTTCTCTCTAAATATTGTTTTACATTGTTGAAGTAAAATAAAACAAAAGGAAAGCATACTACTACAGGAAATCCTTAGAATGACAAACATCTGCCAACTAATACACACTCTTTCAGGACTTTCGAGATAGTTGCGTGGTAGGAGTGCCAGAAGACCTTGGGGTACAGTCCTAACTCTGGCTTCCAAGTCCAGGGCCAACTGTGGCTTTCTAGAGAAAACATATAACACAATTGGCTGAAAATATTCTATAGTTGTTTCCCCCTCATTGTTAGGAAAAGATTTCTAAGCTCAAGAAGAGTGGGCTCCTATTGAAGAGCTTTGTGGAACAAAAGAAATATCACATAGATCATAGTCTCTGACTACAGTTTATCAAACTACAAAAAGCAAAAGGACTTGTTTGGAGACTAAAAACTAAACTTCTAAATGCTTCATGAGTTAAAATGAAAGCAGAACAAAAACTACAAAATATTTAGAATGGAATAAAAACAAAAACATAGATCCAAAATTCAGTCCTGCAATTTAAAATATTCTGAAAATTTTTGCTTTTTACTACAGTTCATTTGATGATATTCCTAGCCTGAGGCTAGAACTTCTGTCAAAGATGACAAAGAAAAAGTGAGAACATGCACAAATAAACAGTATTGCCTTAGGAGCAACAACAATAGCACAACACATGGTTAAATAGAAGACATAAAACCCAAGAGAACGCCTGCAGCAACTCTGTGCTAAAGAATGTGGAAATGTGGACAATAGGTATCTTTCTGGATTTACCTTCTAATTAGTAGAAAAGTGAAATAAACTTATAAAAAATTTAATTATCTGTATTCCCCCAGTAGATTTCCAACAAAAGAAATACACATGGCCAGTAAATATGAAAATACACTAAACTTCTCTCAAAATCAAGAAAACATTCTGGGCAGATGGCAGGTGTAATTCCAGGGTAAAGTATGTGCTTAGCATGTACAAGGCCCCAGGTACCACACAAACACAGGAGAAATGCTGGGGGGAGGATACAGTAAAATGGTGAAATGGTATGGTGTAAACATTTCCCATCCTTCTGGTAAGTACATATTATAAGTCTGTCTATACCAAACTTTGGAGCTGTAAAAAATTCACCTTGTTCTGTCATGTGGGTTGGACATTAGTTTGGAAAACCCCTTTGTAGAAACTCAGCAATACCTAAAACAAAACAAAACAAAAAACATAGAGCTGCCCTGATCCAACATTTTGTATTTAAATCAACATAGAGAAATTTCAACACCTGTGCCCACACAACAAAAAGCAATAAAATTTGTACAGGAGGAACAAGGAGTGTGCTGAGACTCACAGAAGACAAAATAATGGTAGGCAGCCCTTAGTCCTTCTTTGGAAATTGTCCCTGGCTAAAGGATGACTGGTATTTTTAGCAGCATCCCTCAGGTCTTTTCTCTGAGCATAGGCTGTTAAGAGGAGAGCAGAAGCAGTATGTATACTTGATTCAGCCCAGTGTAGTATGACTGTTATTCACAGCCCTGCTAGGGTCCTGTCAGGTTGGAAACATTCAGAATTTTTGCCTGGTCTAAGTACGGTTTAGTCACCAACTACTTAGATGAATTCCAGGTAGCAATGCCCCATTGCCAGGGGTAAAGTTGTCTCATTTAAGGCTTAATCTGTTCAACTGTCCTTGACAATTCACTCCTCTGCTCCATATCTTAGTAAAATCCAAAGTGGAAAACAATCAAACAAATCTACATTTTGGTTTAGACTAGTTCCTCTTTTGGATGCTCGTTCATTGCTAACCTCTTTACGTCCCACACTTACCCAGGCTGTCCCAACCCATTACTTCCCTTTATCAAAGCACACACATTCCCTGCCAAGAGCATCTCTTTGTTTGCAGTTTACAGAGTTGAGACTTGAAAGTAAATAATTTTCATGCCTAAGTGACATGTCTTGGTTTTAGTTGGTTTTGCCCTGCTAAACACGTAGCAAATCTCCAGAAACTTAAGAACTAACGAGCTAACATTTTCTTTTGCAGCATTTCTACAAAATGTCTGCTTCCTCTCTGGCTCCTTCCCTTTCTTGTTAAAGACTCCAATACTCCAGTATTGACATGAATGTGGTTTTAGATCTACCTTGTTTGTGGTAAGTGAAGCACTCTCTATAATGGTGGAATTTGAGGCTTGATCGTGGAAGTTCAAATAGGTAATTTTGGTTTGTGATTCCACAAAAAGACACTGGAGAAACAATTAATGCTGCTGGCTGGTATCACTGGTTCTTGAATTTTCACACTGGTCTCATCTGACTTCATGCTAATCTACTTTCTTCACTATTACTTTTCTTTGACCTAAAAAGTTCTACTTTTTATCGTGATAGATTGGAGCATGAGCTCTGTAATTAGTGTTTCTGTGTTAAAGAGACATGGCCTCCAGAACCTTAGTTTCCCCATGAACTAAGAGAAAGGGGGCTGTATTCCATCTAATATCTGTAAATGTCAGAAACTTGTTTCTTACTCTGTACACTACGTGTTATAAAAAGGCAAAGGGAGCCACCACCCAGATGCTTGTATTTTTGGCATCTCTTTCACCTATTTCGTTATGACTCTAAGGAAGTGGCATTAAAGATAAGTGAGATTACAGAAATGCTCTATCTCAGACATGGTGAAGTTTTTAAAGTGTTTTTGAGTCCTACCTGGTTCCTCAGACCTGCCCTTGTTAATGACATTCAGAGAGTTTCTGTATCAGAAGGTATGGAATGAGGATTGTACTGCTTTGTTAGCAGTGTATTGGTTTAGGGATCTGATTTTTATATGCACTGGCTCTTGGACCTGGACTCAAAGTTAGCAAACTCCCTTATGCCAGGCTCTGCACTTGATGTCTTTCCAAAGCTCTTAACTGATGTGGAACATGAGAAAAGTCTCACTTCCATATCCATGTTTCAGGAAAGGGCACCTAAGTAAGAACAGGTGTCTCAGCCTTCACGGGCAAAAGCCCAAGTGTGGGTCCCTAACTACAGTCAAGCTGATGAGCAGTTTCCAGGGTAAGAGTGGAGACAAAGAAGTTTTAGCCTCTTGGTCTGGTATCCTTCACATGTTGGAAGTAGGAGACAGAAAGCGACATGTGATCATTAAGAGAAGCAGAGAAGTCGAGTGAAGAAGGGGCCTTCTAATTCCAAATGTCCCTCCCACCTGTCATTGACCACTTTGAGGTTCTGTCTTAAAATATCACAAAGCACCCTGTGTCCTTCAAATACATTCTTCTTAATTTGTTGTCTTAAATTGTCTTTTGAGTTTCAAGGCCTTGTACCTTGATATGTGACAATTAAAGTTTTTTATTATATTTTAGAAAGAGGCCAAGAATTGGCATTCTTAATGCAATTAGGGATGCTACTGGTCCAGAGACCTCACTAGGAAAGCCACTGACTTTAAAAGCAGCCTCCTCCTTATTTCTACTTACATGATAATAACTGGATAATAGATTGGCCTTCATGTTCTTCCAAATATACTGGTTTATATATCTTAGTGATTCAGTCTCCAAAATGACCTTCTGAGGGGGGAGGATGTTGCAATTCTACTTTACAGATGAGAAAACTGTTGCTGTGAGAGGTCTGAGTAATGTATACAACTTCCCTGTTGCAAAGACGGCAGAGCCAGAGATTGAAAGCCCAGGATGCTCTGACTTAGAAGCTCACTTTCATCATTTGTGCTCCATCTCACTTCCCATTCTAGTTACTCTAGATTTGTTATAAACTCTAGAATCTATCACCATGTCCTAGGCATGGCCCACATCCATCCCTCTGAGTTTCTGTTCATAGTGGTCATCCCTGGATGCCTCTCTATCATACTCTTTGCCCAAATGTTCGGAGGTCACGTCCAGACTTGCCTTTCCTGTGAAGCCCACAGATTTCCTAATCTCTTCCTAATCCTTGTCAGGACTGTTTCCTCCTTTGAGCAGCTGTAACACTTTGTATTCGTCTTGCTGTATTTTACATTTTGGGGTCACTTGTCTTTATAGATTCCATTGCAAAACTACCAGATCCCTAGAGGTAGAGACTGATGTTTGCCTGTGGTAGTTTCGACTTGGATAGCCTGTTGTTGCCATATATCCTGGAGACCCTTTAGCTTTGGATCTGCAAGTACAGTCCCTTCACATGCTCCGGCAGTTTATAGATGAGGTGGGTACTGGGGTGAGCTACCCTGTAGTTCTGGTTCTGGGCTTAAGCGGTAGCTGGGTTGGTCAGCCTGCCAGCTTTTCCTCATCACCACCACCCAAGCAAGCTCTCCAGCACTGCCCCAGCTTGCTCACCCAATGTAGCAGACAGCAAGGCGTGGGGCCAGTTCTGCTCTCACATCCTCAGGTCCAACTCACCAGCGCTCACACCATCAGGGCCAGCTCTACTGTTTTGCCCAGGTGAGGTACAGGGCCCACTCTCCTGAGTGCTGCAGCCTGTGAGGGGCAGGATCAGCTCTCCCACTCTTGAGACCCTAGGACTAGCTTTTCCTGCCTGCAGTAGGTGCCAAGTGGATGAGGGGAGAGGAGCAACGGGGTTATCTCTTCTATCATGGGATATTTGTGAAGAGGTATTTCTGTGATTGGTGTGATAAAAAGACGAACAACCAATAGCTAGGCAGGAGAGATAGGCAGGACTATCTGCCAGATAGAGAAGAGGATAAGCGAGGAGGGAGGAGACGCCATGGAGACACTGAACAAGCTGGATGCACAGAATGGGAGAGAGGTAAAAGCCATGTGATACAGCATAGATTTTAAGGCATGGGTTAATTTAAGTTACAAGAGCTAGTGGGATAAGCCCAAGCTAAGGATGAGTTTTCTTAATTAATAATAAATCTTCATGTTATTATTTGGGAGCTGGCAGCCCAAAGGAAAGTCCAACTTCACTCTCCCCTGCCCATGCCACTGCATGACAGACCATGGGAATTGTTCTCCCATGGTCACATATTCAGGGCCAGCTCACCAGCACTCCAGGCAGCAGGGACAGCTCTACTGTGATAGGAGGTGCAGAGCCTGCTCCCCAGAGTAGTGCAGTTGTTGAGGGGCAGGGCCAACTCTGTGTGCAGCTCTGTCCTCACCGTTTTAGGTGATAACAAGAGCCACAAACATCAACACTGATGGAGGTTGAGGCAGGGCCCCTGTCAGCAAATGAAACCATAGTCCTGGGTAGCAACGCAGGTCACTTAGATAGGCATGGACCCAATGTCATGTGGCCCTTGAAGCCCCACAGGGCCCCACATGTGGGCCCAGATCCCAGACATCCACACTGCCTTCAATGGTGACAGGAGCCTCGGACATCAGTACCGGTCCTGTCTGTGGCAGCAGCTCAGGCCCATACCATGCCTGATGCTGGGTGACAGCACATGTTAATCAGATTTGTATGGGCCCAGCAGCAGCACAGCCCTAGGCAGTATTCTCATAATAAAGTGGGAAATTAGTAGATTTGAAGAAATAAAATTGAGCAAGTAGACATAACAACCATGGTGGGGATATGCTTATAACTCCTTTTGTATAAACAAGGGAAGGGGAAAAAGTTTTCTCTTGTTTTTTTTTTTTTTTTTTTTTTTTGGTTTTTCGAGACAGGGTTTCTCTGTATTGTTTTGGAGACTATCGGTCCAGCCCAGCCTCGAACTCACAGAGATCTGCCTGCCTCTACCTCAGGAGTGCTGGGATTAAAGGCGTGCGCCACCACCCGGCTTTCTCTTGTTTTAATATCAAGACATCACTTGTTATAATACATACTTACTATTTTTCTAACCTGAAACCCATCAGAAAGGAATAATAGAAGATAAAGTGAATAATATATATTGCTGTTTTCTATAAAAGCATTTCAAACAGATGGTGCAGAAGTCAGCTCCAAGGCTAGATGACAGAGCATATGACACGGGTACAGTCGTCTCTGGGCTACAGCTAGAAGTGAGCTGAATCCATTGTTATCATCCCCATACTTTTCCTGAAATGTCACTTTCCACTGGACTTTCATGGTGAGTTCAAATTGGTCATCTGCAACCAATGAGGAAAGAGGAAATTTCACCAATATAACTCATTCACAACAATAAGAAAAACAAAAAGAGGCATGATAAATACTGGGAGAAACAGTTTGTTCAAGCAGTATTTCAAACATCTCCATTACTCATAATGTTTCCCCTTTCTTTTGGCTACCATTTCCCTCAATGCATCTTTGGAAAATGGCCCAATATGTCATTGCTTGGCCATCTGTGTATACAAGACTGCAGTAGTTTCCACTAACTCTTGTTTTTGGTGATGTTATATAAGGGATCTTACTTTCCAAATTATTACATATACTTTCCCAAAACCATTCCCCCTCCTGTCTAAGGAACTGATGGGGTTTGGTGTCACCCACTGTTTTCAGTTAAACAGCACATTCTAGATTTACTTATAGAAATATTTTCATTTGGGCAAAATCCTTGAAACTAGCAGAGCCTAGGAATGTATGGACAGGGAGACAAGTGTTTTGTTAGGTATAAATCCAAGTTGATCACCACCTCTGTATCTCTGCTTCTATTTCCAACTCAGAGCCCCCCAATCTGTGCTTCCCAGTACAGAGACTAGATCATCTCAACCTTTAAGGTCTTATTTCAAAGAGCAACTCCGACACACATTTGTGTAAATTTTAAATAGTTTATTGACATTTCAGACACAGTAACAGTGTGTCATCAGATTTCTAGCAAGACTTTCTAAAACATCTACAGTCCTTGAATTAAGTACACAAGCTGCTCTTTTATTCTATTTTAATTCTTCATAAGCCATAAAACATTAAATAACATATGGGTTTTTGACAAGTATCTAGTTTAGAAATTGTTTATACAGGGATTTGGCACCATGTAAATTGGGATTGAGGGATAATAAGACAATCGGCAAAGCATCTGGTTTGAACTTCTGTGTTGATCTCACCTTTGGATGGTCCAAAAGCCAGATGCCTACAACAATGTCTTTGACAGTTTTGAGCTTTTGTGATTGTGAAGGTCTCCATCATACCAATGCACAAAACAGAAGTTCAGGCTTATTATAAAAATGAATGGACAATTCCAAATATAATGAAACATTTGGATGTAACATGTGAAAAATATCACCTTTTGTTCTTCACATGTTGAAAATCAATTAGCCATTAAACTATAAATGTATATTGAAAACTGCAAGGCAAAATGCTGCAACAATAGTGATAATATGTGAATTTTATGTACAAAAATGAGATTTTTTTCAAATGGCAAAATAACTAGAAATAAGTTGGAAGTTAACATAGAGAATACTAAGAGAGAATACATGGTAGATTCCTTGCCTAGCATATTTGAAGCCCCAGTTTGATTGCCAGCATAGAAAAAATATTCAGGAATATAAAAACTCAGTATAATAATAATAAGAAAAGTGCCAGAGAAAAAGAAACACTCAAATAAATTATATGTCACAAATCAAACTTTGAAACAAGATATATCTATATCTATATATACACATACACACACACACACACACACACACACACACACACATATATATATATATATATATATATATATATCTTGATTTTTTGAGACAGAATTTCTCTGTGTTGTTTTGAAGGCTGTCCTGGAACTTGCTCTGTAGACTAGGCTGGACTCCAACTCACAGAGATCCACCTGCCTCTGCCTCCTGAGTGCTGGGATTAAAGGCATGTGCCACCAATGCCCGGCAAAACAAAATATTTTATAGAGTATTTTACAAACACAGTGCTTGTTTTAAGAAGACAACTGAGAACAATAGGCACTAAAATTCCAGTGAAAATTCTGCCAAAAGCATTGCCAGAGTTGTTAATAACTTTTGGAAGTTTGATTTTTGAGATGTGTCCTTGCTATGAATCATAGGTGCAATGATCCATATAGAAAACATTTGACTCTGAGGTCCTGACGAACGCTGTGATTACTAGAAATGCTGAGTGTGCTGGTTTTCTGTCATACACCTGACATTTGGATACTCAGAGACAACTGGGTATCTCCTTGTGCTATTTGTATGACAGTTTGCTGGAATAACACCAATTCTCCTATGCTCTGCTTCTCTGCTGGTGGTAAGATATATACATAGTGATATATTATTTATGATTTATTAAAGCTGGCCTGAGAATTCAGAAAGCAAAGTCAGCCACAAGCCATAGAAGCCAGGAACACACCTTTATCCCAGCACTCAGAAGCTAGGAGGTGATGGCACACACCTTTAATCCTAGGACTCACGATTAGGAGGTAGATGCATCTCTGTGAGTCCAAGGCCACCCAGAGCTATACAAGATTGATCCAGTCCTAAAGAGAAACAGCTCACACAAAGATGATCTCAGCACCTGAGATCACATGCCTTTAATCACACTATTAGGGAGCTATGTAAGACAGGAGCAAGGTCTCGATATGAAGCATTCATTACCCAGCCTCAGTAAAGGTAGGAGGCATTGATTCTCCAGCCATACTGAAGATATGAAGGCTCAGTATCAAGGAGGATAGGAAGACATTGAAGTCACAGGATTCACCATCCACACTGATGAGAGGCAGCGATTTGAGACTTGGTTAAAAGCTTGTGTGTGGATCAGCCCTTTCAGCCTGAACTTGAGGTGAGAACTAGTGGCCAGATGTTTTGCTTCCCTGATCTTCAACTTGAACTCCAATATCTGTCTCTGGGTCATTTATTTTTTGTGTTACTCATATGGGTCTCAAACAGAAAGCAACCACCATAGTGAGTCTAAAGAAGAAATTTTCACTAAAATGAAAAGCAACAAAAGAAAATATTCTGTAGCTGTCATCTCCATTAGTAAACCCATGATGAGCTATTAATGATCCAGGGGTCTCAATAGTCTCAATGCAACGTTTTCTTCTCATCTTCTTATCTGTATCATCAGAAGGTGGGAGCAACTTGGGAGAATGTGGCAGAATCTTTAGTTGTAAGCAAAAAAGTAATTGGGCGTTGTGTTCTTGATTATTCCTTTTCTTTCTAACTTTTATTATAACATTTTCAGAGCTTACTATTTGTTTCACATGGGTATTTAAAATATGCATCAATCTACTTCATGAATTTTTATTTGAAATCATCATAACAATCTTCATCACCATATTATAATAATCTATGAATTGTGGTTTGTGCCTATAAATCCAGCACTTAGACTGAAGCCAGAAGATTGAGAGTTTGAGGACAGCCTGGGCTACAGTAAGACCCTCCTAAGTTGCCACCCAGGTCCATAAGGGTGTTCAGGTCTGAACTGCTGCCAAGGGCCATGTCTAGGCGTGTAGCCCGACTGCTGCCAAGGTGTGTGTTGATGTTTGTAGCTCCTATTATCACCAAAGGCTGTACAGATGCCAGGGGTCTGAACCACCACCTGAGGCCATTTTGGTGTTCTAAGGTCATGGTGCCACCTGGACCATACTGATATGGGTGGCATGTGCTGACACGGGGGCCATGATGACATCTGGGACTGAGCTGCTGCTGAGGGCCATGTCTAGGTCCACAGTCTTGTCGCAGCTGGGATTTGTGTTGATCTCCATGGCCCTTGTTACCACAGGGGGGCATAGGAACCATGCATGTTGAAATCCAAGGGCTGGGCTGAGTTGGCACTGCCCTTTGCTAGTCCTGGGAGAGCTAGACCTGCTCCCCCACCCCTGCAACTGTCCCCTGTAGCAGAAGAGCTGGCCCTGCCCCTCACCACAAGTGTGGGAGAGTTGGCCCCAATGACTTGGGTGTAGAGGAGTTGGCTCTTTCCCCTCCCAGGAAAAGCTTTGCCCCACTGAGCAGCAAGACCCCTTCAAGACCATCTCTGTGGGAAAGAAGTATTATGGAGGAGTCCTGGGTCAGGCAGTAAACGGCATGAACCAGGCCTAGGCTGGGAATCTTTAGGTCTCGTCTGTGTGAGGCTACCTGGAGCCTGTGCAGAGGCCAGAAGTTGGACATGGTGTTACAACGTGTCCAGAAAGCTTCTAAAAATATCCTGAAATTTTCTTCAAACAATACCCAATGAGGTTACATCATCACAAGTGATGTTATCTTTAATTCCAGGAGCTGAAGAACAGAGAAGCTGCTACCTTAGCTGATTATTGCAAGAGATAAAGTTCGATAACTTGGTGACAGAATCACTGTGAACACATACCTGAGATGATACAGCAATCAACAAACCTAACTCCCAACCAGCCGCAGATGGAAACAAACGACTCCTTGGCACCCCTTACTTGCCAAAAAAGTGACCACAGGAACCGTTGAGTATGGACAGAATAGAGGAGTGATTGTATCTTAATCATGACACCAAATGTAAAACTCAGAACATTCATTTTCAGCTTAAAAGCTCATCTTAAAATAAAACTTCAGAGCATCTTTGCATCCTGGCAATTTTTCTCTATAATGAGGGCAGCTCTATGCTGTGACCAGGGGGTTTGTTTGTGTTCTTAGCTAACACTGCACCATACACCTGAGTAGTGAGCCGTCCTCTAATTTAATATTGTTTTTATAACCTGATGGTACTTTGGTGACTACAATGAATGGGGCTTGTTCTTTGTTCTGGCTTGCTGGTCTCTTTTAACTCCCAGGGTGCTGTATGCAGTAAAGAATCCCACTTGTAGTATCATCATTCCCTCCTACTTGTATTTTCATTTTGCTTTTATCACTCTGACCTGATAACATCATAACATCCTAAAGTTATTGATCATAAAAATGATAATACTGCTTTAAGAAAGAAATTAGAGACAGCTGTTCTCCACCTGCCCACTCCCGCAGGCAGCCCCTGTCTGTCCACTGCTGGTTTGGTGCTTGTCTACATTTGGTAAGTGATAGGTGAGGTTCACTTTAACCACCACGTGTTGACTTCCTCTCCTTGTAGTGTTAAACTCATTACATTTCCTACCTCTCCCCACATCCTCTCAGCACCGTTATTTGACAGTTTCTGGTTCATCACTGAGTTTTGTTCACATTATTGCAACTGGGTAACATCAAGCTCCTTTGACTTGCTGTTTCATGTTCTTAAAGCTGATGGTGTACTTCTCCCCAATTTAATTAGCTTCTATATTCATATTCGGCAAAAAATGTCTAAATTTCTAAAGTTTAATCTTCCAAAGTTCTCTAAGTTCCCAGTTCCTTGTTTGCCCTGACTGGCTGCTCAGAGATCTTCAACTCCCCTTTTCCATACTTGTATGCAGAAAAACAAAACACTATCAAGAAAAACAACAACAACAGAACATGACCTCTGTTCTGCTTAAGTGTGTATTTTATCTCTTCCTGAGAAAATGTTAAGTTGGAGGTAATTTTTTAAAAACCCTTACATTTCTAAATATGTCCATATTCTGCCTGTAAAATAGCTAATAATCTGGCTCTAACAGAAGCACTGCTGTGCCATCATCCTTTACCATCCAAAGTTTCTATGTCTCCTACTGTCTGTCCATTAGTTTCAAGAGAGCTAGCTCTATGCTTATTTATCTTGCCAGGTATCTGGAGCCTGTTCTTTATAAAGACCCTTGACTATGTCTTGTTCTGGAGACTTCCCCAGAACCACTCCTCCTACTGCTTTGTGATAACATCCTTGCCCAAGCTACTTTAATATTTTCAAACTTCTTAGTCAAAAGTTTAAACTAACTAATTTTATGACCTCTAATTTTTCTCTTTTCTCCCTGTGGACATTCTTCTAAAAGTGATAATATTGCACGATGTTTAAGGCATGGGCTCTGATGCCACATCCTAGCTTAAAATCCCATTTTATGCCCACAGGTGGAATAATGCCATGCTGTCTTCTACAAGAAAGATTCTTAGGCTGTTACTGGACTCCAGGGAAGACTGTTTGACTAAGTATGGGCCACCAGGTTATCATAACACTCAGTTGTTTATTATGAACTGACAGCCTTCTGACCTACTTTACAAAAAAAATGGAGCAGTTAAACTGGCCCACACAGAATCCTTAAAGCTTATGAAGGCACCATGGCAGACCATTCACACCAGCTTTAGCCTTGACCCCAACATCCTGCCATCCTTAGGCTCATGTGCTCACAGATGTCTACTAGAATGATCTGCCTGAGGATGCACCTGTTTTTACCTAGCCTCAGAACTGTGTCCTTTACTTTTGTCAACCTCGGGTGGACTATCATTCACAGCAATTCTCAGGGGCAGACCTCAAGAACAATAGAAAAGGAATAAAACAAGTACTGTTGTTTTAACCCCAGTGTTTGCAGACACATTGTCATACAGCCGTAGATTACCTATACCATTCCATCTCCAGTCATTAGCTTTGGAACGATAGTCTTCTAAGGGCCTGGTTCGTCAGACTTCATCATCTTTCCTGAAACAGGAGGCTGGTATTTTCACTGAGTGTATTTGACACCTTCAGCCATGTGTTCGTCAACACATTCAGAGTTTTTGTTACCTCTCTCTCCCAGATTCACTCAGTACAATTCTGATGACAGTGTCCCATTAGATACTGAGGTAGTGAGGTCCCTGCAGCCCAGAATGAAGCAAATCATCCATCATTATCCTAATCCTGTAACAAGACAGTAAAGTGTTCCCCAGGGCTGTGGACGTAGACTGGTAACAGAGCAATTGCTTTGGACATGAAAGGCCCTGAATTCAGCAAAATGACAGAGAAAGGGGAGGGAAGGAAGGAGGGAAAGAAGAAGGGAGAAAGGAAGGCAGGAAGGCAGAAAAGAAAAAGGAAAAGGAAAAGGAAAAGGAAAAGGAAAAAGAAAAGTCTGCCCCACAAAGAAAGCTGCTTCTTCAGGTGGCCTTCTACATACACTCAATGCATAAATTATTTTTTTCCTAATCAGAGGACAACAAACTCCAGCCACATAAGGACCTTTGTGAGGAAATATACCTTGCCTCTTCACTGATACCTCATCCATAGCTGTTTTCCCATCACAATCACTGCACTCAGTAATAATAACAGAGACCATCTGGCTTGAAACTCTAAAATACTTACTGTCTGACATGTTAAGGAAAGGTTTGACAACACTCATTTAGGTTAATATCTATGCACCAAACACCACAACTGTGATGATATACTTCATCGAGGAAAATAACATAAATAAGCACACAATTAAGTCACCATTGAGGCCAGTTGTACTATCCACTGCTCTCTAAGAATAAGAACCAAGTCATTCTCTTGTTTTATTTTGACTTGTTTGTCTTAACAGCTGCATTTGACAATAAAATGGAAATAAGATGGGAATCAAGGTATCCATGTTTCTCTTGTCTATGATAAGACACTAACATTTTCTGTTTTCCTCATAGAACAAAACAGTGATTTAAATTTTCTACATTGTCTTTCAAATAGCTCCCTCCCAATCCTATCTCTCCTAACAATAATCTCTATACTGAAGCCTGAATGGGAACCTAGCCCTGTGTGAGGACACCCATTTTCACACTTGGGGGCTAATGCAAAATATAGTGAGCTCAAACTAGAATTCAGTTTACAGTGGTATAAAGTTCCATCAAAAATCTCTCACTTGTTAATCCCAGCACTCGTTAGGCAGAGGCAGGCGGATCTCTGTGAGTTCGAGGCCGGGCTGGACCGACGGCCTCCAAAACAATACAGAGAAACCCTGTCTCGTAAAAACCAAAAAAAAAAATCTCTCACTTGGCTATCAATAATGCCAGCCCAGATATGACCAAAGGATTTCCTGCATCCTTTGGAATTACTATAACTTACACCTGGCATTCAGTCAGCCCCAAATTTGTGGTTTATCTTTTTAATGTTAATTTTCAATTAAAGAACTAAATAATGGGTGTCATTGTGAGGCTGATATATATATATGTATATACATATATATATACACATATATATGTATGTATGTATGTATGTACATAAATAAATAAAAACATTTCATCTTGCCCCTCCCCAACTGCCCTTTTCTATCCCTCTTCTCCTCTTCTTTGTCTTGCTGGTTTCTGCCCTCCTTCTTCTTCCTTCCATCTAATAATTCTTCTGTTCTTGACACACACGTGCGCACACACACACACACACGCATACACACAACGTATGTATATGTTAAATCAAGATTTTGTATAAGAGAAAGCATGCAATATTTTCTTTCATTAACCCATTACATTCTCTTGTTCCCCCTTCCTCCTTCCTTTAGACCTCTTCCTTCCCTGTCATAGTTTCCATAGGACTTTCATGTCCTATGTGTGTATATATTTATACAATATATATTGGAATCTAAATTCTGCAGAGAGAAAACATGGGATTTTATCTACCATTTTTTACTTAACACGATGGTCCATCCACTTTCCTGCACATAATAAAACTCCATTCTACTTTATGTCTGAATGAAACTCCATTGTGCACATAAATCTCATTTTCTTTATCAGATCAACTGCTGAAAGACATCTAATCTGGTTCCATGTTTTGGCTATGTTGTATAGTACAGCAATAAGCATGGATATACAGCTATGCCTACTGTATACTGACTAGATTCCTTTGGGTATATACCTAAGAGTGGTATACCTGGATCATATAGTAGTTCTAATTTTAGGGTTTTTTAAAACTTCTATACTTGTTTTCATTAACATTTCCTGTTGTTTGTTGCTGGTGGCCATATCGAAGGAACAGCAAGTGACAATTGACTTCAGGGGATTGGCTCACCAGCATGCAAGGCACTGATGGGTGAATCTTGGATAGGCAAGGCCCTGAAAGACTCAGCCCCAAAATATATCCTATTATGGTCGTGCCTTTACATGTTTGCCACTGCAACTTACCTCTGGTATCTGGTATAGTGTAAATGGGTGTGGGAAGATTCCCTACTGCCTTCACTAAGGTATGATTAGTTCATGGAGATATCTCATTCTAGCCACATTTTTACCTGTGGATTATTATGGAGGTGATTTCCTTCTATTGTGTACTGTTTAACTGAAGGAAGCAATGACTTTATACAACAATAGTGTTAGTTTAAATAGGACTTTAAGGATTGAGGCTCTTTAATAAATATAGTAAGCGATTATGATACAGGTTAGTTTAGAGGGAAAATTAATATAGGTAAAGGCAAGATATGGTGTTGCTCCTTCCCCTGATAAAGCAGTTCTCAACCTGTGGGTCAAACCTCTTTGGGGGGTTTTCACAGGGGTCACCTAGGACCGTCAGAAAACACAGATATCTGTATTAAAATCCATAGCAGTAGCAAAATTGCAGTTACCAAGTAGCAACAAAAAAGTTTTGGTTTGGGGTCACAGAATTAGGAAGGTTGAGAACCCAAAAATGTCTTACTAGATGGTGACCAAGCATTCAAATACATGAGCCTGTGAAGGATATTTCACATGAAAACTATACACATGGTCACAGAAAGTTTCCAGCCACTAGATTCCTTCAAGGGAAGCCATTATGCTCTGTGGTTCTGATGGTCTAAATCTTCCTCTACTCATCATCATTCCTAAATAGAAACACAATTTGGAGGTGCGACCTGATACATTGTTTCATCTCTTGGTTTTATGCCTTGCCATTTTCCCATCCTGGAATTCAAATAAAAATCTTACTTTTTACTAACTAATTCACACACTTGTCCCTTCTCTAGAAGTTCAGTGTCAACAATCTGCTTTCTAGCACTCATTAACATATCTCTTCCCCTCTCTCTTTCTCTCTCTCTCTCTCTCTCTCTCTCTCTCTCTCTCTGCAGTTCCCCTCTAAACCAGTTTGTTGTCTCACCTCTCTCTTCATTTTTTCTATGCCAATTGGTCTAGCTTAGAGCAGGATGGGATCACCACCCTTGGACCAAACAGGCCTAGAAAAACTGGGAGGCCTAGTCAATGCCACACCCCATGGGTCACGGGGTAAGTTTACACTCTTCCCATTTGTGATTCTGACAGTCAGAAAGTGCCCTTGCCTCTAGAACTCTCCCACAACTAGCTCTACTCTGTTCTATTCTGACCATCCCTCTCTAAATGTCCTCTATCTGTTCCTAACTATGCCTCTGCTTAATCCATTCCTCTGCTCTCCACAAAGGTGCAGCATCCTGCCTTTAAGATCTGGCCCTTGCTCCAGCGGTGGGACCAGGACCTGTCCCTGATGCATGAGCTGGCTCTTTGGTACCTATACCATATGGTGGGATGTTTTGTTCCACCTTGATGCATGGGGAGCACCTTGGTCCTGCCTCAACTTGATATGTCATGCTTTGTTGATTTCCATCTGAATGGAGACTGAGGGGGAGTGGATGGGGTTGGGTAGAAGGGAGGTAGGGAGAGGGAACAGGAGGAGGGGAAACTGTGGTTGGTATTTACTTTTGAAAAATGATGATTAAAATAAATAAATAAAAACCTTAAAAAAAGATCTGACCCTCCAGGAAGTCTTCCCTGAACACTCCACATTTATCATATTTTCTCTTTTATGACAAATACCCTTCCTACGCTAAATGTTGTCTCCTTGTGTCACTTAGGTTCCCAGAAGGAAACAATTGGCATACTCAAATTTGACAATTTAAGAAAAGTTCATCAGAAGAGAGCAGGGAAATGGGAGAATGTACTCCTTTGAGGTACTGGATTGAATGTCAGTCTTGAGTCAAAAAAGGAGGTTAAAAGGAGCTCTGTACCCAGGAAGTGTGACCTATAGGGTTGACTAATAAACAGAATCTTCTTTGCCTCCCCTACCCACTTTCAGTTCTTCCAGTCCAAGAAGCTGTTGGTTGCTGTGTCAGATTTCAGAATATGAATTGGATCATGCTTATTAGAAGCTACAGTCCCTGTACATTAAAAATTCCCACACATATACTGGCAAGTCTAGGCTCCCTCCACCCTCCAACAGTGTAATGCAGAATGGGGGTGGGCTTCATAGACACCCATGTCTTTTTCTTTGACATCCTCTATTCACACATGTTGTCAGCATACTTATTATTTTAGCCTCTTGTAAGACCTCTTAGAAGAGAATGTGAATTTTGGCGTAAGCAGAGGTAGTAGATTTTATTGGTCTTGAGCTGTAACCAACCTTACCAAAAACCCTACCTGAGAGGAATGTAGAAATTAGCCCAGATAATAAACAAGAATTTTCTGCCTTCTGTCATTCTTTCCTGATGTCACTGCATCACACAATTCCCAGGAATACAAATAGCACCTCCTAGTGTTTTGCAACACAGGTGGACAAGACAGATATAGGAATTCTAGAGTTTCTTATAGCATCATCAAAAGCCACCTTTCCTGGTACATGAGCACACTCTCTGCTTGGGGCTGGCTGTGGCCAATGCACTGTCATTGGTTGGTGCCCTCTAGTGTTATCTTGTACTATAGCTGTAGTGAAAAGGGATGCTGGCAAGGAAAGAACTTGATCTGAGGAAAGTTGAAGACAATTTGTCTGCACCTCTAATTGAGCTTCTGAATTGCTGTGGCTTCTCCTTATGAGACCCCAGCCCACCTGGCTTCAGCTTTTCTATACCCATATGTCTGTCTGTCTATCTGTCCCCATATATCTGTCTGTCTGTCTGTCCTTTATTCATTCCAGTCAAGTCAGTTTCTGGAACTGTGCTGGATATAGCACTAATGTCTGTTTTTATATACATATTTAGATCATGGAATTTTTTCCTTTGTCCCATTTCTCAGTCAGGTCCTAGGTCTCCACTAACTATTAAAGTCCTACTGATTGCTCTACCTGGACTTCAGAGAATTAGAGTTAGGAGGTTATAATTTGAGTAAACAGAACTCATAGAGTGTAAACTTTATATTGATGCCTCAATGTCCCTTTAACTTCAACTAGAGGCTGTCATTCTTCTATTCCTAAAAGAAAACTTAGGCAAATCTATAACTTTTTGTCATCACACTGAGGTACAAAAAAAATCTCATGATTACACCTGGTTACAAAAGGATTTCAACTTCTGAGAAAGGGTCCAGGGTGTACACTTTTGTTTCCTTGGGACTTGGCTGAGAACATGGTAAGAATTAAGTAAATCTCTGATGAATGAATAGATGGTAAGAGAACAAATGAATATAAGGCAATGACACCCTCCATGAACCTTACCAAACAATGGGGAGCATGCCTGGTCCTGCTGCTGATGGAGGGGATGCAATTCTACTATTTCTTTCTCCCTTTCTGTAGTCTTCAGTTCCCCCTCTCTAATTATTTAACAAAGTCTGAGTCTACATGGAATATGGGGAGCCGAAAGATGATCTCCCTTAATTTCTACATTATCCAGTAGAGGACATTAGAACTAAAGAAGTGAAACAACTTGTTCTAGGTCAGAGGGTAAATTTATGGCAAGAAATCTCTAATGTCTTTAGGGATGTTAGGATAGATGTTTGCATCTTAATATCCAAACCAACATATAACTTTTTATATTTTAGTGTAATTCTAAGACTTATTTTCAGCCGGGCAGTGGTGGCGCACACCTTTAATCCTAGCACTCGGGAGGCAGAGACAGGCGGATCTCTGTGAGTTCGAGGCTGGGCTGGACCGACAGCCTCGAAAACAATACAGAGAAACCCTGTCTCATAAAAACCAAAAAATAAAAAAAGACTTATTTTCTTTTAAATAAGAAACAGGTCCCCTTGACTCAAAATCCAAATGATATAAAAGGCCACCTCACTTTTCTTGTCTTTAGTTAACTGTTTTCCTCTTAAAGACAGTTAGAGATTTCATATGTCTCCTATGGGAGATGACTTGGCATGTTAATCTAAAAATAATAGTGTGTGTGTGTGTGTTCCAAAGTCTATATGTTGACACTTTGGTCCCCAAAATGTCACTATTGAAAGTTCTAGTGGGATATCTTTTGGTCATTGAAAGTGTGCCATCAAAAGGGATTGTGGGATCCAGTCATCTTCTTGACTCATAGTGTAAGTAATTTTCTCCAGCACATGTTCTCCACTGTTACCAGAGACCCAAAATTTACAGATTACACATCTGGAGATTCCAGGCATGTGCTCAATTTACCTTTTCTGCTTATAATTTACTACAGATACTTCACTATAGCAATACAAAGCTGAACAGTATACTGATTTTTTTTTCAGAAATAGATTTCACCTTGTGCTTTGACTCTTCATTCTTTTCATTGGTCAGATTCTTCTCAAGGTGTTTCTCACACTTGTTATCATGTGCTAGTCTTACTTTCCCATATTCGACTCACTTCCTAACTTACCTCCTTGGGTAGTTCTGGGGCTTCTGGCCCATCTTCTATGTATTGTCATATTTTCTTAATGCATAGAGTTGGGTGTTTTATCCCCCTGAAACACACTCTGCATTAGCCTTTCTTGCCTTCTTTTTTTTTTTTTGGTTTTACGAGACAGGGTTTCTCTGTTTTGGAGGCTGAAGGTCCAGCCTGGCCTCGAACTCACAGAGATCCGCCTGCCTCTGCCTCCCGAGTGCTGGGATTAAAGGCATGCGCCACCAACACCCGGCCTTTCTTGCCTTCTTAACAAAGCTTGAGATCCTTTGACGGAAATTCATGGTACGTCCTGATATCTTCATCCCATATTTCTGTCCTCTCATAATATGCCTTCACACTCTTCCCACTGAATTGAGTGAACATTATACAAATCCTTGCTTAAATCTTCCCAAATCTTTCCTATTCTGCACAGACTTGTTCAGAATCCCCTTCTTTCATGAAGTCATCCCTTACTCAAGTTACAACTAAAAGTGTCCTTTTCTGACCTAGACAGAGTACAAAGTGTCTAACCCTTAACATAGATTCCTTTGTTCTTATCTTATTTATCCTACTTGACGGAGGTCTTTTGAGGTAAGGTTGATTTTTTTTCCTACATACTAGATTCCTCACTTAACCCAAAGCAGTTTTTCTTTTGTTTGTTTTACATCCCATTTCTGTAACTTAATATGGAAGTGTTAGGTGAGCAGCTAAGAGGTTTATGTCACATTGTCAGCATCTTCCTAAGAAAATGACAAACTGTTGAAATAACTTTCCTTGAACAAACATGTAGTTACCCCAGATAGGGACCAAATGAGAGACCAAAGCAATGATTCCACCAAAGTTGAAATTAGCAAACTAATGTGTTTATTGAGCCTACTTACAGAGCATTATTAAAAAGTGAGAGTTATCCCAAACAGCTATGTCATCACAAAGTTTCATCCCGTCGTGAATGATGACCTCATGGAACTCCATTCTTATATATCTTTAGCATCTCCCAAGATCATGTGCAAGTTCAGGCAGGAGAGAGTAATCCAAGATGAGGGTCCTGTGACTGTAGATTCCTTCCTACTATGGAGTATCAGTAGCTCCAACAGCATCACTATTGAGCAATCTACTTCAAAATAATTATGAAATGATCATGCTATACTCAGAAAAAAAGTAACATACTACAAATACAAATTGAGAAAAAGCATAGAACTTACTTCCCCAAGAAGCTATAAACAGAGAAAAAAGGAATGAGAGAAAGCAACCTGAGCCATAGTCACTGTTTTTCTTCCTCATTCACTTCTGTGTCTCTCACTGCTTCTAGTTCAGGATACTAAATACAAGCACCCAAGAAAGCTCAAAAGCTCAACTGGCTAAAACTGATAGACTAGAAGTTCCTACTACACTAATGGGTTTCAAATGGAATAGTGTATCTTAAAGGCTGGCCATAATTGCAAATAACCTTATCACAGACATCTAAAGGGCCCATGCATCCCTCCCACAACACCTGAGAAATCTTCAGTTTCAGTTGTCAAGTCTCTGAAAGTATCATAGTTACAACAGTTCTAAAAGTGTAGTCTTGTGATAAATATCATGGTCATCACCTGGGAACCTGTTGTTAATGCTCAGGTCTCTCTTCAAACATGAATCATAATCTCTGGTGTGGTGTTATAAGCATATATTTGAATCCAGAGAGCACCTCCTGAGATTTCTAGGGTCTTGTTTGTCAGGATAATGAATCTGACCAGAAGCATATTGATAATGACAGAAATAGAGGCAGTTTATTAAGAAAGATAAAAAGATATTCCTGAGATTCATAGGAGAAGGATAATGATCTAGAAAAAGACAGGCATTCAAAAGCACTGTACCATATGAATTCTGATCATTCTGAGGTTATTTGCATAGCACCAATTTCTCCTGTGTAATATGGGCTTTTCTTGCATGTGCTCTTGTTGGTATGAGAGGCCAAGTAGAAAAGGATTTTTTCTTCTAACTTAATTTATCTGTCACTCTTGGCGTCTATCTCCAAATCTTTACTCTTCTTCTACAATAAGAGTCATCTATCCATGGGTCAAAACACCCTTCACGTATTTAAAATGTCAAGTTTAAGAGGAATTGAACTAGAGTACCACAATTGGACTCCTCAATACATATGGTCCCATTGTGAAATTGGCATTTAGGAGGACAATGTGTTCCTTCCAGGATACTCTCAATCACATGAATAGGAATTCACTTGACTTTTAAGAATAACAAACAAGATATGACAGCCAGTATCCTGAAACAGTAATTGTCCATACACAAATAATAATAATTAAAAGGAAAAAGTCATTCGACAAGAGAAGAAGGAACTACTTATGTTAGGAAATGAAATAAATGCATTTTGTGAAACATTTCACTCATATCAAAAGATGAAATAGAAGTTTAAAATACTTTTTTAAAAAACCTACCTACTTGTGCTGAATAGAGTATTTAACAGTTAAGTGAATCAGAATACATGTAACTATTCAAAGACTCAAGAATAACTATTGCTTTCATGTTTGATGAATTGTCAACTGGCCAGCACATGACCTCTGGTAATGACAACAGGGTACATGAAGATATACTGAAGACACCATGTCTTTGAGATCATCAGTGCTGCATGAAAGTACAAATGAATGGGGTCATTGCGACTGACTTCATGTATTTGCTTCATCTTCCATTTCGTATAATGTGGGCAAGTTTTCTCTGCCCAACTAAAAGACCACAGAGATTTCTTGCTCCCCAGTTGATGGGGAGACAGAACTGGTTCTTTCCATTTTCTCACCAGGAAGGAATGGAATATATTTCCCCAGGTAGATTGCCACATGTCTGTGGAAAAAGAGCCGCAGGTGTTTCCGGAACCTTTCGCCAACAAAGGCATAAATGACTGGGTTGACACAGCAGTGGGTATAGGCAATCACCTCGGTCACCTGCATGGCCAGGTCCAGGTGTTTGCTCTGTTGACAGCTGTTCTCCAAAAATGTGCTGTGAAAAGCAGAGAGAAGGAGAACCAGGTTGTATGGGGTCCAAAAAATAAAAAAGACTATCATGACAACAAAAATAAGCCGAATGGCCTTGTGCTTTTTTTTATTGGGGCATCTCAGCAGAGTTTTAATGATTCCTGAGTAGCAGATGACCATAATGAGTAGAGGGAGAGCTAGACCAAAGATATTCATTCTCAGAGCATGGAAACGCTTCCAGCTGTCTTCTTCATCCTCTGGATAATGAGGACCACAGAAATGTTCTCCGAAGATGTTTTGGGACTCATGGAAGATAAATTCAGGCAATGCTGCCAACCCTGCCAGTCCCCAAGTGATGATGCTGGTGATGATAGCAAACGTCACAGTCCGGGCTCTAAGAGCAAACACAGCATGGACAATGGCCAGGTACCTGTCAATTGTCAGCAGGATGATGAAAAAGATCTCACTGTACAAGGCAAGGTAATAAAACCCAGTGATTAGTTTACACATGTGATGGCCAAAACTCCATTCATTCCGCATAACATAGTGAATCCAGAATGGAACGGTGAAGAGAAAGAGCAGGTCAGAAACTGCCAAGTTGAGGAGGTAGATATTAGTCATAATTTGAAGCTTCCTGTACTTTATGAGGATCAACACAACCACCATGTTGCCCAGGAGGCCAATGATGAACACCAGGGAGTACAGTGGAGGCAGGAGCCATGACCCCAACTTTTTGATGCTGACTTTTTCACAGGGTGTTGCCCAGTCATATTCATAGGGTGTTGTCTCAAAGCTTTCAACCACAGTCTTGGTTTCATCTATGTGGAATGCCATTTCACTTCTCTCTGTAATAGAAAAAAATTAAAAAATAACTGTGTGAAACATACCCGTTGATTATTCATTGAATAACCTCAAGTTAGAATTTGTTTAGTACACATTTCAGAAGATATATCTGAAATGCTCAGAGTAAGGGTCAGGAGGCAAAACTGCAGTTCTCAAAGGCAGCATGATTCATGATAAAAAAGAAACAGGAATGCTGTGGCTGATGGTAAGGAATGGGAATATTAATCTCTGAAAATAATTAAAGGAGGAAATTCAAAGTTTTGAACTAAGGAATGAAAAGAATAATAATGACGATGATATGAGCCATTCATAAATGTGATTATTATTATTATTATTTTGGTTTTTTCGAGACAGGGTTTCTCTGTATTGTTTTGGAGGCTGTCCTGGAACTTGCTCTGTAGACCAGGCTGGCCTCAAACTCACAGAGATCTGCCTGCCTCTGCCTCCTGAGTCCTGGGATTAAAGGCGTGCACCACCAACACCCGGCTCATAAATGCAATTATTTCTACTGCATATTTTAAAACATTTTAGAATTTTTATTTTATATATTATGACTTTCAAAATCATTATCTTCACATAAATTGCAAAACATTTATAGTGCTAGTAATGATAACCACCTCTCTTAGGCCCTTTGGTGAACATGCCCAAAATACTTAAAGGAGAAAAAAATGCTTATTGAAATAATAATTTATCTGAAATTCTCTAATAAGTAAGTATAAAAGATTGATAGAATTTTGGTTTCTTCTCTCTCTCTTGTCAGTAATTTAAATATAGTCATTTTAAATTTAGCTATTGATGATTTAGCTGTTGTTATTATGATTATCGAGATTGAAATAGGTACAATTTTAAGCAGCATTTTCCTTGCCAACTCTCCTTTTCTCTAGCTCTTGGTAGTGCTAAGGTAAGCAATAATATTCCAACAGTTTCTCTTTCTCTAAAGAGATGAGCTAGGGGATATGGGAAGACAATTTTCTAGACCAGGAGATGGAGGGCCAGTGACTGCTTTCCTATGGACTATTGAGTCCAGCAGAAAAAAAGAAAGAAAGAAAGAAAGGAAGGAAGGAAGGAAGGAAGGAAGGAAGGAAGGAAGGAAGGAAGGAAGGAAGAAAGAAAGAAAGAAAGAAAAGCAGGCAAGGCAGAAATCTCACAAAGGACAGTAAATCCATACTCTGCTTACTCAAAGAGAGGCCCACCAACCTTATCCTGGCCAAGAGGCAGGGACAAACGTGAGGACATGAATAAGTTGGATTGGTCACCTAACTTACTTCTCTGAGGATGGTTTGGACAGACTGTCTTCTAATGTCTCTCCTGCTTGCTAGGTGCACCGTGATTTGACCCCAGACTTACTGATAGCTGATGGGTCTCACACTGGGAGACAAGAACACTCACTGGGAAAGACCTCTTCCCTATTTGGGTGCTACCTGGAAGACTCAAAAGGAAACTGTCACAAAAGCAACTTGCTTTTTCATTTTTCCCTGTCCAGTCATATCTGTGCTTGAAGCCTCAAAGATAGGTCTTTCAGTTGAGAAGGGACAGTAACTGAATTAGATAAGTTTTGGAGTATCTCCAGACACCAGGGACACACTGAGAAATCCCAAGGCCTAGAAATTGCAGTCTTTTAAAGATGCTGTTTAGCTGTTTAAACCCGTAGTTTCATCATATATTCTCTTTAATTATATTGTTTTAGAGCAAACTATTATCTTATAAAAATTAATTTATATAAATTATTTACTCTGCAAATAAATGTTCTCATCTAAAATATATTCTTACGTGAATAGAGTTTTGTATTTTCTTAATTATTTATTGATTCCTCTCTGAATTGTTTTCTTCCCCTAAATTTAAGCCTTGAAATAATGCTTTAAGACATCTGCAAAGTAGGCAAAATCATTTTTCAATAAAAGAATATATTTTATAACTTTAAAAACTGTTTTTCCATTAAAACCACGTTTTTATTTTTGCATGTGGAAGTGTTTATATTAAGATGGATTTTAAACTTTTAGTAATTCCAATTTGTAATAAAGATGCAGGAAGAAAGTAATTTTAAATTGTGTGCCATATACCAATAACTTAGCACTGTAATCAGTCATATTTATTAATACACATAGGCATATGTTCTTTTGGTAGCATTTATAATTCATATTTAGGAATGATGATTTTGTATTTTAACTTAAAAATAACTCATGTTTTATAACTTTATTTTAAATTACCTGAAAAATACATTTAAATTTAAGTTTATCTAGTTCATTTACTTGTAACAACTATTTTAGACTTTGCATGTAAATAGAGTATACAAATACAGTCTGTACTTTATTTCATTGCCAAAGGAGAATTCCAAAACTTGATATATTTGATATATGGAAAATAACACACATTTTAAGTTAAATATCTAATAGGTAAATTCATTCAATCCAGACTGTCTTATTAGCCTAGGCAAAATATATGCTAGTAATTTAAGGATATCTTTACTTTTATCTTGCATTCAAATTTATCTGTCAAATGTATTATTTATTTAAGTCATGTGAATTAAAAAGTATTTGAGCTCATTTGCCAGTTTTAGTTTATGTGCATGTCACTCACTACATCTGCCATGCAAACAACAGAAAGCACAAGCACATTGTAGATGCAACAAACATAAACACACGCATACGAAAATACACAAGATACATTTTTCTTTTTTATACATGTTTATGTGTTATTGTTTTATGTGTGTGTGTGTGCACTTCCATGAGTTTATGTGTACTGCATATGTGCAGGAACCTAAGGAGGCCAGAAGAGGACATCAGGTCCCCTGGAACTATAGTTACAGGTAGTTGTGACCTGCCACATGGGTTCTGGGAACTGTAACACGATAAATAAAAGACCCAGAGACAGATATTGGGGTTCAAACTTCAAGCTGAAGATCAGAGAAACAAAGCAGCCAAACCAGTAGATCTTTCTTCTACCCAGCTGAAATGGCAGTCCTGTCTCCACAAATCCTCAGAGGCAAAAGACTATGAATTCCTGTCTCCTCCTCCTTAAACTCCTTTCTCTGCCCAGCCATATCCTCCTGTCTCCACCTCCCTAGTGGTGGGATTAAAGGCATGTGATCCCAGATGCTGAGATATTAAAAATTAGAGTAGTAAGAATTACATGAATAGAGAATTTCCTCATTCTTCCGGAAATTAAAGTAAGTAAAGGTGAAGAATTTTGTTCAGCATTGGGAATGGAATTCAGAGCATAGACCATGATAAGAACTGTACCACTGAACTACATCCTTAGCCAAGATGAATAATTATAATTCATATTTTAACCAGAACTCCAAGAAATAATAATAGAGGCAGGTTTGTACATATGTCACGGAGATACAGTACATTGTGAGTAAGATAAATGGTTCAGTTTGAGGATGTACTTTTGTGGAATAAAAAAAACCATCTTGTTCTGTCTTGAAGGTTAGTTTGAAAATTATTTTAAAATGAAGAGTAAAGAGGATAAAAACTATATAGACATGAATGGGGGTAAGGAGGGGATGAGAAAGTGAGACAGAAACAAGAGGGAACAGAGACAGACTCATGACTAAATTGCCTAAAATTGGATTGATTTTAGGAAACTTTATGCCTCAATAACAAACTAGATTTTGGTCTTTTTTCTTCCCTTCTGTCATTCAAAACTTGTCTATATCTATTTATTCATCTATATATGATTTTTAGTCTGCTCTCAAAATGTAAATTTTTTTTTTGGTTTTTCAAGACAGGGTTTTTCTGTATAACAGCTCTGGCTGTCCTGGAACTCACTCTGTCCACCGGGTTGGCCTCGAACTCACAGAAATCCACCTGCCTCTGCCTCTTGAGTGCTGGGATTAAAGGCATGCACCACTGTTACCTGGCTCAAAAAATAATTTTAAAAGGTCTACTTTTTTGTTTTATAAACTTTACTATAAAAAGCTTGCAAATAAATATCACATACCAAAAATTAGCCTTCTTAATAAGCTCCTTTGTAGTTAGAACAGCCACTCTGAATTTCTTAAGTTTCTTCGTCGTTCTTTAAAAGGAAACACTATGCATCATCAAAATTATTTTCTGTCATTAATTCTCTAGTATGACTGTTCTCCAGTTTTTTCATGTGGGCACTTAGTGCTATAAACTTTCCTCTCAGCACTGCTTTCAAAGTGTCCCATAAGTTTGTGTATGTTGTGTCTTCATTCTCATTGAAATCGAGGAAGTCTTTAATTTCTTTTTTTATTTGTTCCTTTACCCAGGGATGGTGCAATTGTGCATTGTTCAATCTCCATGAGTTTGTAGGGTTTCTGCGATTTGTGTTATTGTTGAATTCTAATGTTAATGCATGGTGGTCTGATAAGATGCAGGGGGTTATTCCAATTTTTTTGTATCTGTGGAGATTTGCTATGTTTCCTATTATGTGGTCAATTTTAGAGAAGGTTCCATGTGGTGCCGAGAAGAAGGTATATCCCTTTGTATTTGGGTGGAATGTTCTATAGATGTCTGTTAAACCCAGTTGGGTCATAACTTCTATTAGTTCTTTTGTTTCTTTGTTAAGTTTCTGTCTGGAGGTCCTGTCTACTCATATATGGATTTAGACATGGATCAGGATAGTGCCAGTCTGCACTTCCACTGATAGAGAGTCTGGGAAACAGGAAAGAACCTAAAAGATATGCATATATGCATAGTACCCAAGAGAAGAGGATGGAGACAAGATCCCCTGAATGGATGGGGAACACGGCGAGGGGTGGGAGGGAGTGGGACCTGGGAAGAAGAGAGGGGGTGAAGAGGAAGAGAGTTGGTCATGGGGGAACAGGAAGCTGAGGGGGTGGGGGTAGAATAGGGGGAAGAGGGAATCATAGGATCGAATACAGATCAGGCACCAGAGCTACCTCGAGTGATCTAAAGGGATAACACCAATTGGCAAGCTAAGCAATAGTGGAGAGACCACCTCGAATGCCCATTCCTGATAATGAACTTGATGTCTATAACCATCCGGGAGCCTTCATCCTGTGACTAATGGAAGCAGAGGCAAACACACAATTAATCACTGAACTGAACCCAAGGAACCCAGTGGCAGAGAGAGAGGAGTGATGAGCAAATTGGCAAAGAATGGGCTGGCAAAACCAGCAGAGAAAGCTGATCTGAACAGGGGAGAGCTCTTGGACCCCAGACTGACAGTGGGGAGGCCAGCATGGGACTGATCTGGACCCCCCAAATGTGAGTGTCAGTGAGAAGGCCTGGGCAACCTATGGGGCCCTGAGCTGTGGATCAGTGTCTATCCCTGGTATACAAACAGTCATCGTGTGCCTATAGCACAAAGAAGGATGCTCTCTCAGCCTGGACTCTTAGGGGAGTGCCTGGACCCTACCCAGAGTAAAATGACAGACTCTAGATATCCCCTATGTGGAAGGATTTGGCAATAGGGTGGGAGGCTGGGGGGAAGGGGAGTGCGGGAGGAGGGGAGGGAGAGGGAACTGGGATTGACATGTAAAACAAGCTATATAAAATTAAAATAAAAAATGATAAAAAAATTATTTTCTGTCTCATGTTGATTTTCTCAAGGTCTTTGGCTTTTAAGAAATTCAAATCATCTCTGCTGTAAATGACATCTCTTCGTAGATTTGTTTTGGAATTTTCAATTGTCATTTGAGTTAGATAGATGACTAAATATTGCTTTGGTGACCTGGATCCTATACACCCAAGTGTTCTAAATATCAAAGTGTAGTCAGTTCATCTTAAGTGACTCGACTTCATACACCTGTCAAGGACTTTTACCAACCTCCTTACCTGAAGATTAAAGTTGACCATTGTCTTTTAAAAGCAGGTGTTTCAAATACAGCTGATAGTTTTAAAAACAAACCGATGTTATTTAGGTGAACAAGATGGTCATGAAGAATATATTTTCATAGGGAAAATATACCTGTGCTGCCAAAGTAATGTGATCAGCATGATCAAGCATTACCGGTTTCTAGTAAGCATACTAAGAACACTCTATGTGCCTCTCCTATCGTATGGACACTATAATCAACAGCACACGTGATACTGCCTTCTGTTACTTAGATTCAACACCCTGATCTCATGTAGTTTAAAATGACTTGAAATATAATTTGTAATGGTGTCAACATATTGTGTAAATCTTCATGATTATTTAATCATCTTATTGCTGAATGAAGTTGTTCCCAATTTGCCCTTTTAAAAATAATATAACAACAATCATCTCTGTGTCTTAAAACTTATTTCCCTAAATTTTTTACCCCAAGGCACACTTTCAAACTCTAATAACATTTCCAAAGCTCTTGATGCGTTTTTCCAAATTGCTTCCAGGAAATCTATAACAATTATAAATTCATAGCACTGTAGATGATGTTGCCAGTTTTAGAAAGTATCCATCAACATGGAAAATAACTAAAAAAATTATTGGGCCAATTAGGTGGATATAGGGTTGTCTTATTGTTGTAATTACAATTCCATTAATTACAGAGAGATTTTAAAATTGTAATTATTAATCACCATATTTCCTTTCCATGCATTAATTACCCTTAATTTGTTCTGCTGAGTGTATTTGATCCTTTCTTGTTGAGTCATAGAGTACTCACATTTCTTATGCTAGGAGAAATTACTCAGTGACAGGTTTCAGTGTAATCATTACCATCTTCTGAAAGGGGTTAGATGATCCTCTAGCCAGTGGTTCTCAACCTTTCTAATGCTGCAACTCTTTAATACACAGTTTTTCATACTGAGACGGGACCATAAGATTATTTTGTTGCTACTTCGTAACCACAAATTTGCTACTTTATGAATGTAAACATTTTCAAATATCTACAAATATTGTTGTGATATAAATATCTAATATTTGGGATATCTGATACACAACCCCCAAAGGTGTTACAACCCACAGGTTGAGAACCTCTGCTCTAGCCCCAACCTACTTGTATACTGAAAGTCACCACCCTCTTTCAAAGCAGTCAACAAAACCATTTAACTTCTAACCCCAGCCAAATTAGGGTTTTTCAAAAGGTTAAGTGGGATTTTTCTGTCTCTACCCTCTTACAGAGATCTGCCAAATACAGCTAGCCAAGCTAATCCACACAGACAAGAACACACCAAGGCAATCATCAACTAATCCATCTAGTAGTCTGACTTAGAATGAATTTCCAATGAAAACTGTAAATATGCATTTAAACACATAATTATTTACTATACACACAAATACATGAATATATTTACATGCTAATACATATACTTGCACACAATAGATTACATTTTTATGAAGATCTTACAAGTCATTATCAATAAACACTGACTACCAGGTGTAACACTTTGGGAATAATACTATTCTCCATGGTTTATGATTTATAAGAACTTCAGGCTGGTAACAAATAATGTAGTTTGCGTGGCCATAAAGTTCATATTCAAATGAGTATAAAGGTAAGCGTATCATAGTATAGGAGGGAGATGGAAGAATAGGAAAGAGGAAAGCAAGAAGAAAATGGAAATACATTGCAAGATCTTTTCTCACTCTACCTTATGTTACCTTTAAATCACTATACACCACCTCCCCCACCTTGGAAGTAAGGGGGGTCCTGGAACCTATTTCTTCCACCTACCTAGACTAATATATCCATTTTTTTCCTAGAGCTCTGACAGCCTACATGGAAATATCTTCTAATGAAGCATCTATCAAATTTCAATATTTCTTGCCCAGAAGAGAACAAAAAGCAGAAACGATACCTGGTGATTTTTGCTAAGCCCCTTTTGAGTCCAGTAGTAGCTTAGGTCTCACTGACGATAAAACGGAGATAACATTTGATCATATGCACCAGTCAGGTAGTAAACAGCACAGCTTCCTGTTTTAAATAGGCTAGCTTCTCAGGTTTTGCAAGTCTTCAGAAAGATATCAGCTTGCTACAGTTCTTCCTTTTGTTATTTACTACGCATACCCAATTCTGAGCTGAGGCATCTGGGGATGAATTCTGCTGACATTCAGCAGCTATCTTGCAGGCTCGTTACCCATTTGGCACTGCTCATTTTTGATGTGATGTGGGGGTGACAACTTCCCAATAATTATTTCTTTGACCCATGGACAGACTGGCAGAAGAACAATGTAGGAAATTCCCCTTAAAGGAAATATGAGAACAGCAAATTTTCTGGGAGCAACGGAAGATGATGAGGGCAAGCATATCAGTAAAGGTTTTGGCAATTCATGAAGGCATGAGTTTGCATTTTAGCTGTGGTGTCATAGTTTCAGTGACCTCAGGGTAATCACTGAGCCAGCCTTGCTGGACCCTGGTTTTCTCCTCAATAATTACAACAGATACTTATTTCCTGAAACTGTTATGAAGTCAATTAAGATAAACCTGGAAAGTTTCTATGTAAAATTCACTTGGATTACACTCTGACACAGCTTTCCAGGACTAGAAACATACCTTCCATATATGTTGACATCCCCAGGGACCTAGTGTAACGTTGAACACTAGACCCATCCACCTAATATTGATGGGAATAGAAATAGTGCCAACTGTATGGCATAATATCTGCCAAGTGCATATCAGATGTTCAGAAGGGAAGGGGAAAGAAAGATGAACAAAGAGAATAGAAGTAAGAGAAGAGCTTAATTTTTTTCCTTCCTTTTTAAAAATTTAAATTAGAAACAAGCTTGTTTTACATGCCAATCTCAGTTCCCTCTCCCTCCTCTCCTCCCTCCCCTGCCTCCCACCAACCCCTGTCCTATCCCCTTTCTGCTCCCCAGGGAGGGTGAGGCCTTCCATGGGGAATTCTGTCATATCAATAGGAGCAGGGCCTAGGCCTCCCCCCCCCCATAAACATATAGGCTGAGAGAGTTTCCTTCTATGTGGAATGGGCTCCCAAAGTCCATTCGTAAACTAGGGATACATACTGATCCACTACCAGAGGCCCCATATATTGCCCAGGCCTCCTAACTGACACCCTCATGCAGGGGGCTGGGTCAGTCCTATGCTGGTTTCCCAGCTATCAGTGTGGGGTCCATGAATTCCCCCTTGTTCAGGTCAGCTGTTTCTGTAGGTTTCTCCAGCATGGTCTTGACCCTTTGCCCATCACTCCTCCCTCTCTGCAACTGGATTCCAGGAGTTCAACTCCGTGTTTAGTTATGAGTGTCTGCTTCTGCTACCATCAGCTACTAGATGAAGACTCTAGGATGGCATATAAGGTAGACATCAATCTCATTATCAGGGAAGGGCATTTAGCCTCACTCAAGTCACCAGCATGAGATACTCAGTGCAGTGGAAATTGTATGTAAAATGCAGCACTGGTCAGAGACTTGATAAGGAACCTCAACTGCTAAATGATCTCTCTGCAGAGAAGAAACTAAGAAACTGAAATCATCAAACTGTAGCTTCTCCTAGAAAGCTGTGGAGATTTTTAGAAATATTGAGAGACTCCTGTAAAGACACTGCTGCACAAGGTTTTTGAAAGGTGATTTAAAAAGTGTCTTCACTTTGCTTTCTAGAACCTGTAGAAAAACAAAGGGAGAAAGAGGAAGCATTTTCTGGCCCTTGAAAACAAAGTTGTTTGTTTTAATATCCCTACTTCCCAGCGGTTCTTCAGTTAACCATGTTTCAATGCTTTTATCTTTTTATTTGTACCCATTTTGGTGTACAATTCAATAAACGTGACAGCCACATACTCCCTAGCAATGCTGCCATAATTAAATGTAGAGCACTCCCAGCCCTTTGTACTCTGTGATTGCCCCATCCTCACTGAAATTCTCATGCTAGGCTAGCAGAAATGCAAAGTTAAAAATAAGACAGGTTCCTTCCTCCCCAACCCTGAAACATTTTTTTCTCAATTTTAAATGGTCTTTGTTTTTTGTTTGTTTGTTTTTTAATTGATTCTGATCATGGTTTCTTCTCCCCAACTCCTCCCAGCATTTTACCACCTTACCCTTTCTTTAGAAAGCAAACAAACCGACGAACAAAACATATTTTTTTAAATTAAAAGTATGAGAAACACACATACACAACAAAATCCATAAAAACACAAGATTGGAAACCATAATACATAGACAAAATACCAGTAAAACAAAAAAAATGTCCAAGCAAAGAAATATAAAAATTTTAAAAATCCTGCAATAATACTATTGAATTCATTTTGTGTTAGCCACCTACTGCTAAGCTTTGGATCTACCCTGAAGTGTAATTAATATACCCAGTGAAACGTCTTTGGAGAACACTTGTTTTTCCTTTGCAAGCTAATGTCAATTGCAGAAAATTTCTTGGTTAGGGGTGGGTGCCTGTGTCCACTTTCCCTCTTCAGTGGTAGAACCCCACTCTGTCTTGAGCCTGTCCAAACCGTGTGGATACTTCCACAGATTGTAAGTTCATATCTGCATCAGTCCTATTGTGTCTGAAAGACACAGTTTCGTTGGAGTCATCTATCCCCTCTGGCTCTTAAAATCTTTCTCTTTCCTTTTTTAAATAGCTCCCTGAGCCCTGAGGAGAGGGTTTTGATGAAGAAGTTCCATTTAGTAGAGTCTCTGATGATGGCTGAGTAAGGCATTAATCTATGGGTACAACAGAATGTCACTAGGAGTCATTTTATTGCTGTATTCCTTAACCAGAACAATAATTTGTTTTTTCCTTAAGCCTATGGACTATCCAGTCTAAGGTTCATGGCCACCTGAGCAATGTCAGGTATGGGTTCCATTTCATGAAATGTGTCTTAAATCCAGTCAGAGAGTGGTTGATTGCTCACACAATGTCTGTGTCACACACAGACTGTAAAACAAATAAATGTGGTGAAAACAATAAAAATATATTACATAAATATATGAAAATGTCAAAATGAAGCTCATTGTGTATAAGTAATACACATGTCCTAGTTATTGCTCTATTTTTGTGAAGAGACACCATGACCAAGGCAACTTATAAAAGAAAACATTTGATTGGGAGCTTGCTAATCCTTCTCAAGTAGTGCTATTCCCTAATGGCTAAGCATTCAAATACATGAGCCTATGGTAGCCATTCTTATTCAAAATTCTTTCTCACTATCTCTCTCTTTCTTCCTTATTCCCTCTCTCTGCCCTTTCTTTCCTTCCTTTCATCCTCCTTTGACTTTGCTGTGATTTCTTTTAAACTGGGTCTCATATGCTAGGCTATGCTTGAACGTCTGATCCTCTTTTATTTTTATTTTAAAATTTTATTTTAAAAATAAAAAATAAAGGAAGAATGACATCAGTAGAAACCCAGGAGTAGACTCACTGTGCATGTCACAGGGAAAACTCAAATAAAACTCAGTTGTTAAGCACAGTAAAGGCAATGGTTGACCATCAGCTAAAAGATTAAGTCTCTGAGAAAGTGGAAGTTGGGTTAGTTTGTGTGAGGATAAACATCTACTCATGGTTCTTGATGAAAATGTGTTGATGCCAGGAGCCAGAATGTAATTCTGAGTAGTAGATTATATCCCTAGGAGATCTTGTATCAGTCTCACGAATGACAAGAAGCCTCTTTACCTTTGAGAATGTAGCTTCTCCAGTCATTAAACCAAGGATCCATTCCCATGTTTACTCCTTTAAGATACAAGCATTAGCTTCATAGCTGACACCAAGTCAAATATTTGTGTCCTTCATCCAAGAAGCATGATATTGTCTAAGATGGTCTTTCTAAAAGTATATGTCATGGACCCATAAAACTTAGAGAAGAGTTTTCTTATATACTGTTGAGGGAAATTAACCTTGTGGAGACACATGATACATTAAAGTCCCTAGGAAGTCCTGTAGTAATAAACCTGTTTAAAATGTGTAGGAAGAATACATTAATCTCAAACAACTTTCAACACCCCTTAAAACCAGGCTTCCTGGGAGTCTCTGAGAGGCACTGGTTTGATGACCAGTTGCATGGTTCACATAGTCCATACAAAGTACTTTGGCCCTGTATCCTCACTTTGTTAGAAATCTCCCTAGAAGTCCCTGGGTTATTAACAATGACCCTGCTGGCTCTATAAGTATAAGGAAAAAGTAATTCAGAGACTTAGTAACCGCCATGGGAAAAGAAGGGCTGGTTCTCTTTTCTGCTCTGTTTTGTTATAGCCAGGTGGTATCTGCCATCCTTCAGCTAAAGATGGCATCAAACCCAAAGGGAAGCAGAACCCAACATTTCTATCTGAAACTGAGAGTGGATTGTACTCTCTAGGCTCTTTCTAAACAGGGCAAAGTATTTGAGGCACTTATTTTGGAGTTGTATACTTAGGGCTGGTAGCTCATAGGGAAAACTGAGGCAAATGGGAAATCTGGGCAAATTTATACACTCTAACTTTTCAGTTGTCTGTGTTACTTTACACTAAAGCAGAAACATCTCTGGAGGAAAAAAAATCCCAAATCACAACACCATAAAAGACAGATTATGTTTGTAGGAGAATGTAAAGAGAAAGCAAACCTTTCTTGTGGGTCTGGTGGTGTATGCATGCAATCCCGGCATGGGTTTGAGGTTAACCTAGTCTATATTGAGACCCTGTCTCTAAACACCCTTCAGCACCATGAAAAAAAAAGCCAGAATTTTCTTGCAGGAGAACCCAGTTCAAGTTGTAGCCTTGAGCATGTGAAAGGAAGTAATTGCTAAAGCAGCAGGGAGAGAGATACAGCGGGGAGAAATAAGTGCTTCCTTTGCTAGCATCTTTTTTTTTGTCACTCAGCCCCACAATGAAGAGTCTTGTGTCTACTTGAGACAAAAATGTCAGACTCCAGTCAAGATTTCTGTTTACTATTATTTCCCCCAAGAAAAGCAGTAGAAATTTTATGCAGATACTCTTATGCTTCCCAGTAGTGATTGAATACATTTCTGTGTCCCCCTATGCAAAGCATTGCAGTCTCTATGAAGTCCAAACAACAGCCGCAAGTCTTACCAAAACAAAAAACAAAAAAAACCCACTTTCCCACAGTAGGCCACTCTGCAAAGAAGACTAAGAATGTGGAAGTTATACTAGTATTTAGGGAAGCTGTGAACCACTTATGAGC